AATAATAATAATAATAATAATAATAATAATAATAATAATAATAATAATAGAGTCATGCTTTACTTAACCATGGAAAATGCCATGAATGCAAAGTGCAGGGGAAGATGAACTAGAAATACAGCCCACTCAGGTGGGCTGAAGTCAGGCAAAATTGTCCCATCCCAGAAGTAGGATAATCTTTCTTGCCACCACATTCCATGCAGATATTGAGACATGGTGGGGAGACTGCTAATTATATGGGACCAGCCTTGGATCTACATCATTCTCATTGGTTTGCCAGGTCTAATTCGGATTCACTTCCTTATCTAATTGCTCCATTAAAAAAAAAAAATCAAAAGCACCCAAACAGGTTTTAATTGGGCATGTCCTGTACTCTGGTTGGGAGTGATGTGGTAGCCTAGAGATGGAGCTGTCACCTCACAATCAGGAGACTTGTGAGTTGGATCCTAGGTAGAGGCAGATATTTCTCTATAGTACACGGAGAATACATCTGTTGAACAAAACTCCGTATTGGCGACTGGAAAGGGCATCCAGCCATTAAAACACTCTGCTAGCTCCATTCAACCCTGCAAGGGATTATGGTGTCAAGATGATGTCCTGTGTCCCTTCTTCAAGGGTTGTGGATAAAGGGTGTGTTGAGTGGGGGGATAACAACATCCACTGCCGTTGATGCCTTCTTGGGAAATTGGATCTCGGTGGTTGGTTACGCATTAAAGGTGTTGTATGTGCCACCAAATTTTCCTCCCCGCCCCGGGACAGCACAGAAACTGCCATGGGGATGAGGCCAAACATTTTTCTTAGTCGGTTTGGAAGAGAAATCAATTTAAAAAAAAAATTAGCCTCCGTTGATACGACATTCTTGATCAGTAGGAGAGCAGAATTGCACAACCACTTTGTTCGGGGAAATTGCCTACGTTTTTCAACGCGAGGCTGCCAAAGAGAGAAGCCACGGACACGCCATTTCTTAGACCTATTTTGTTTCCTTGACCGGCGAAGGAAAGGCCAGGAAAAGGGGTCGTCAGCCTCCCTGCAGAAACGCAAAAGAACACACACACACACACACCACACACCCTCAGCCGTTCCTTCTGCTCCATTCAAAAGTCAGACTTGGGGCACCGTCGCCGGCTTTGGCCGCCCTGGCTGGAGACGTAAACGAAGAGGAAGAGAAAAAGGAGGGAAGAGGTGGGTGGGACGGCCTCCAGAGCTCGCCTCCGCTCAGGGTCGAGAAGCTGCCGGAGAGGGCGAAAAAGGAAGGCGCGACTGTCGGAGAAGGAGCGCGCGCGCGTAAAGCCCTCAGCTGAAGGAGCGGAGAGACGGAGCCGCCCCGGGTAAGTCAGGCTTTGGTGCGAAAACCGAGCGGCCTCTCCTTGTCATGAGGGGAGTGAGTGAGTGTTTCTCGGAGCCCCGCGCGTGCGCACGGAGGTGCTAGGGAGAGGTTGGGGTTCGTTTGGGGCTCTCTTTCCCCTTTTAGGACTCCCCTCTTTCCGATGTTTCTGGAGAGTGGGTTTCCTCTACGGATCTAGATCAGGGGTCTCCAACCGTGGCCACTTTTAAGACTTGTGGACTTCAACTTCAAGCTTTGCTGGCTGTGGAATTCTGGGAGTTGAAGTCCACAAGTCTTAAAAGTGGCCATGGTTGGAGACCCCTGATCTAGAAAGCGTTGCGCCTTCAGAGGCTTCGGGACGCGTCGGGTTGGATTCCATCGCTCCTTTTAATTTCATTTAATCTTTATTATTGGGTACAGGTAGTCCTCGGCTTGCAACTGTTCGTTTAGGATGGTTCAAAGTCACAAGGGCAGGAGAAAAAAAGCAACTTGCATTTTCCTCCACACACTTAACGACCGTTGCAGCATCCCCATAGTCACATGATCCAAATTCGGACGCTTGGCAACTGACTCGGATTTATGACAGTTGTAGCAACCCTGGGGGTCATGCGATCGGGTTTTGCAACCTTTTGACAAGCAGAGTCCAAAGTGGATTCATTAAACAACTAAGTAACTCAACAACTGCAGCCATTCACTTAACAACTGTGGCAAGAAAGGTCATAAAGTGGGGCATAATTCACTTAACAATGGCCTCGCTCAGCAACAGAAACGTTGGGCTCAGTGGTGGTCGTGCGTTGAGGAAAACTTTGCCAGCTCTTTGGGCCACCAGTTCTGGAAAAAGCTGGTGGCCTGATCCCATTAATCCCTCATTAGCTAACTTTAGAGATTGGCTGGATCCCGATGGAGTAATTGAATAGTAAGTAATATGTTATTGTTGAAAGGAAATCAGATGTCTTGGCCAGGGTTGAATGGTCCTCCAACCACACTGGTTTCTCTGTCTTCTGCACTAAAGAAGGCAGCTGTCAATCTTTTAAGAATATTTTCCCCCACTTTTATTATTGTGTAACTAATTCAAGGTGGTGAATGTACCTAATACTCCTGTTTCCTTCTATTTTCGCACAACAACAAAAATCTTGAGAGGTGGGTTGGGCAGAGAGAGAGAGAGTGACTGGCCCAAAGTCACCCAGCCGGCTTCATCAAAAGCATGCAAAAAACAGTGGCACCCAGCGTTTGGCTGCCAACAAAGGAGAAATTTGCAAAGAAACAGATGAAGCAGATGCTTCCTCAAATATTATGTGCAAATAAGTGTGAGCCCTGTTGTTATATATATAGAAAGGCTTCTCTGGTTTAGAAACCATGTCAGAATGCCACAGCTGACACTTGTGGTTAACTCAGTTCCTAATATCTACGACATGCCAAAACATCCGTTGCCTTAAAAAAAAATGGAAGGAGTGGGTGACAAAAATATCTGACCAAGTCTGTCATGCGCCTGTATTCTTATGACCAGAAAAAGAAGGGAAGTTTAGCCAGTTGGTCTTAAGATAGAAAGACTGATTTTGGCCGCATCCAAAAGTAACCTTTTGAGGGGTCCTTGGTACTCTCCGAGCTTGTTGTTTTCTTGCAGCCGTTTCATTACCCAAGCTAGGTAACATCATCAGTGCTAGTCAGTAGTTTGGGTAATGAAATGTGTACAAGAAAACAAACAAGCCCAGAGAATATCAAGGGCTCCTTATTTCAACCCTGAGCTACAAATATTCTCCTTTATTTGCAGTTTGTGTAATTTTGCTCCAAAACTTGCTGGTGCCCACTGTTGTTTTGCTTCAGCTAGTAAAAACTCTGCTGACTCTTTCAGCTTGCTTAAGCTTAAGTGAGAGGACTTACCATTATTTATTTTGAGTTTCTTTATTCTGTGGTCTACCATGCCACCACACACACATACAAACATAGACCTAAAAAAGCAAGGATAACAGAGCTATTTTCACAAACAGAGGGGGCGCATTATCAGAAAAATAAAACTTTTATTCCCTAGTACTCTAGTGTAAATAAATAAAAAATAATGGTATGGGCATTCAAGCTTTTAAATGTGGCTTTCATTTTTTTTTGCTTTGCTTTGGCACAATTTGTAAGATGTTAGTGTGATGTAGAAAATGCTTTGAAGAAAATAGCTAGCAGGTAAGAAATGATTCCTTTCTATTAGAATTTTGAGGTCAGTTTTCGGTTTTTGAATTGGTATTTTTGTCTTTTCAGGGGGTAAAACAGAAAAACAATGAATACATATATATTCAGCTATTACTTAATTCAGTTTTGTGGACATTCATGGATATTTACCAATATGTTCATCAGATTCCTTTCATTTGGGGAAGGTAAGCTCATGTCATACATTTTCCTTTTTGCTAAAGCTTGCTAGTAATAAACAAATTAAGTATTAACTAAAGTAGATCTAACAGTGATATTGCTCTAGATATTTGCACTGGAGAAGTCTAAAATCCTTTTTACCCATATATAATATGTATGAGTTAAATTCCCTCAAAAGCAAAAAAAAAATGTAAGAGAACCATTGTATTTATATTTTTATTCACTGAGAAGCTATTTTGATATAAAGAAATTGTGACAACAGAACTATAAAATCAGTTCAAATCAGTTTCCTGGTTGTTATTTCTTAAAATTACAAACAGGAAACCATGGTTTATTTGTTTTTAAATATCCACTTATCTCTCTGATGATAAAAACTTCATGTTTTTCTTTGCATTCATAAGAAAAAAATGGCTATCAAAATGTCAGCCTAACCCAGCAATCAAAGTCCTGCCCCTTTTAAAATTGTGCTTTATAATGTGCGGCACACAAAGGGGTGAGGTGAAGTGCCCTATCCTGTCTGCCATTTTGGCATTATTGACGTCTTTGCTTACAGATAAATCCCGGAGAAGAAAGTGTAGGCACTGTGGGCCTAATCGTTTCTTTATTGCAGTGTTTTCTTCAGAGCCTCATTTTTAACTTCCTGGTGTGGAACAGAGGACTGAAGGTGAATTATAAACGTTAGCCTAAATCCAAGTGTAGTTCTGTTCACAGTTGGAACCCACTTATTTTTTTGCTTTTATGCATTCAGATGGTTGTGTGAAATAGGGTTGATTTAATCCCAATTCCTGGAAAGTGGAAAGATTTAAAAAAAATAAAGAACCAGTATTATAGATTGAGGCAAAGGTGCTCTAACTCTACAATTCAAACACTGTAAATGCTAAATGAAGATGCGTTCCCTTTATGAATAAAACCAAACTATGATTATGAAACAATGAATAGAATGGGCTGACAGGGTGGCTCAGCAATTAAGATGCTGGGTTTGTCTGGTAGAAAGCCTTCAGCCCAGGGTTGAGACCAAGCATCACACAGTAGGCAGGCTCCTGTCCTCACCCCAGCTCCTGCCAACCTAGCTGTTCAAAAGCATGCAACTGCAAGTAGATAAATAGGAGGGTAGGTAGCAGTGGGAAGGTAACAGTGCTCTATGCTGGCCACATGACAGTGGAAATCATCTCTGGACAACATTGCCTCAATGGCCTTGAAACGGAGATAAGCACTGCCCCCTATAGTCGGGAATGACTAACGGAGTAAAATCCGCAGAGACTCCTTTATCTTTTAAAAAAATAAATAGAGATGGTATGTTTGGCAGGTAGTTTGGCCAAATGGCTAGATCCATGGGTTTAGCCATTTCTCAAATCTTACTCCAGGTTTTGCTCTCCATATTAAGGTAGATAGATATAGGATGGATGGGTGGGTGGGTAGGTGGGTAAGTAGGTAGGTAGATAGATAGATAGATAGATAGATAGATAGATAGATAGATAGATAGATAGATAGA